ATGGCGAGAAAAAAAATTGATGGTAATTTTTTGCTAACAGTCGAAGTGCAAGAAAAATAAAATTTAAAGAACTACGTTTGGTGCTTGCTGGGGAAATTTTTTATCATTCATTTAAATGAAACGTGGGATGATTTAAAGGTCGGGGTATACTGCTGAGGTAATATTCAGGGGTTTAATTATTCAATGTGGATAGATGTAATGGGAAGGGGGGAGGAGTTTCTTGTATGTTTGGGAAAATATTAATTGTTCAAAAAAAAGGATAAAAAAAGATGGGGGTAACAGAGTCTGTTTGGGTAGAGTTCGTGGGGGGCAAGAAAAACTAAATTTTAGGTGTAAAACCGCCTCCAGGCTTGGATCCGATAGGGGAGACTTCTTTTGGGGCGAAATTTTTTAGGGTTTTGGACCAAAAAAGAGTATAGTAGGGGATTTTAACTTTAGCCCAAAATTTACTGGAATCTTTGACAGGTAATCTAGGTCCAGTGACTTCTGGAAACAGTTTTAGGACTGTTTTCTGAAACGTGTAAAGAACCTACCAGGGGTAATAATTTGCTTTAAACCCAGTCTTGTCAAATAAGGAAACCTAGTGAATAAACTGGGATCACTGAAGGTTGGCGCAAGTGATCACAAATCCCCTCACCTTTAGCTTAATTGGGGAAGCAAGAATAAGATAATACGTAAAAATCCCCGATTTTCGTTTGCCGATATAAGGATTAGGGAACATTGTTTAAACTTGTTTTGGGGTTTTCTAGTAACGATTTTATTTACGATAATCATACTTTGATTGAAGGGATCTGCTTTTATGATTGTTTTCTTAATAATGTCACATTCCCAGAGTTTTTTACTTTCCCCCAGAGGGGAAATTTAGTTCTTTTAATAACGCCAAAAAGGGGTTTTTTAAAGGGGGTTTTAAAGCACTTTTTTTTTGGGGAAAAAGGGAAGGGGGGGGATTATGGGAGGCATCAGAAGGGAGAAAGGGTTTAACCAAACTTACCAATAGGTTCACCCCTTAAAAAAAGAAAAAAAAAGGCGTTTAAAAAAAAAGGCTAAACGGGGGCCCCTATAAAATTAAAAGTCGCTAATAAATTCAAAGCCCAAACCCAAAGGGGGTTTTTTAAAAGTGTTTAGGACGAAGGTAAGGAAAAATTTTAGGACCCCCTAAAAACGGGGGAATGGACAGCTGAGGGGATAAGAACTGGAAATGGGGTTTCCTTATTTAAATTTACTATTTTTTTTCAGTTTTTTTTCACAGGAAGATGTAAATGAGATTCCAGTTAAAATTTAAAAATTATTAATTCCTGATGAATTTAAATTAAACCCAATATTTTCTGTCACGAGGGCTTTGGGTTTTTAAACAGATAGCAAACTGAAACAAAAAAAAGTCCCCCCGGACCCGATGAGTTGTTTTCAAGGGTAAATTAAGGAAAAGCAAAAATGGAGTTTGTCAGCCTTAACGAGTGTATTCAACGGTCCAAACCTTACCAGTGTTTTGCCAGAGATTGGAAGATGGCCAATGGGTTCCTATATTCAAATCAGGGGATAAGGGCCACTCCTTCAAATTACCGTCCAATAAGCCTGACATCTATAGTGGGCAAGTTTTTAGAATCAATTATAGCTGACATTATCAGAAGTCCCCTTGAAGAGCATAACTTGATAAATGAATCTCAGCAGGGATTCACGGAGAGGTCGTTCCTGCCTGACAAACTTACTGACGTTCTTCAATAGAACTTTGAGGCAGTTGACAGTGTTTAAGGAATATGATATTGTTTATTTGGATTTTAGTAAAGCCTTCGACAGAGTACCTAAACAAGAGACTCTTAAAAAAAAGTGGCAGCTCATGGTATAGGGGTTTAAAGTTCTAGCATGGATTGAGGCATGGCTTACCAATAGAAAGCAGAGAGTTACCATTAATGGAGTGAAATCTGAATGGGGATTAGTCACTAGTGGCGTTCCAAAAGGATCAGTTTAGGCCCTCTCTTGTTCATAATTTACATTAATGACCTTGATGAAGGTATTACTAGGGGACATGAGTAAGTTTGCTGATGATACAAAGATAGGCCGAATAATTCACTCTGAGGAGGATATCAATAAAACTCCAGGAGGATTTGAACAAATTAATGTCTTGGTCTGAGAAATGGCAGATGAAGTTTAATGTGGATAAGTGTAAGGTACTTGCCCTTGTAATGAAAATAACCCTCGAAGCTATATTCTAGGGAAGTAGAGCTTGGTCATACAGAATGTGAAAAAGACTTGGGAGTCAGGTAAGCAGAAATCTAAAGCCAAGACTGCAGTGCCTCAGTTTTGCGCAACAAGGCCAACAGATTACTTGGATTTATCTCAAGAAGTATAAGTAACAGAAGTCCAAAATTTTATTTTACAGCTCTATACTTTCATAGTGAGGCCTCATTTAGATTTTTGCTGCTCAGTTTTGGTCCCTTACTACAGGATGGACATAGACTCATTAGAGAACATACAGAGAAGAATGACTAAAATGATTTACTGTGTAAAGGAACCTCCCGTATGAAGATAGATTTTAAAGCCTTAAATCTCCACTCTCTGGAGAGGCGTAAAATGAGGGGAGATATCATTGAAGTTATAAGTGGATGACGGGCATAAACAAGGGAGACATTAATAAAGTTACTGAGGGTGTCGAACCAGGTATAAACCCCAGGAATAATGGATTTTAAGTTGGATAAATTTGATTTAGAAAGGACATAGGTAAGTACTGGTTTTCTAACAGAGTTGTAGATGCGTGGAACAGTCTTCCCAGTGGGGTGATAGAGGCTAGGACCTTGGGTAGCTTTAAGAAGAGACTGGACAAATATATGAGTGGGAGGGGCTGGGTTTGATTGGTGTTGGGGGGTGCGGGAGTTGTTTCTTGAGTAGCTTTAGGTAGATATCGTTTTGATAAGGACCTGCCTCGTATGGGCCAGTAGACCTTCTGCAGTGTTCCTACATTCTTATGTTCTTAATAGAAGTCCTCAGTTTGTTCTTCAACTCTATATATCCTAGGTTAGGCCTCATTTAGACAATGCTGCTCAGTTCTGGTCACCGTTTTACAGAATGGATATAAATGCTCTGGAAAACGTACAGAGGAGGATGACAATGATGATCCCATGTATCAGAAATCTTCCCTGTGAGGATAGACTGAGGGCCCTGAATCTGCACTCTCTCGAAAGGCGTAGAATTAGGGGGAATGTGATAGAGGTGTATAAATGGAAAACAGGAATAAATAAAGGGGATGTAAATAGCGTGCTGAAAATTCCCAGCCAAGACAGGACTCGCAGCAATGGTTTCAAGTTGAAAAAATTCAGATTCAGGAAGGATATAGGAAAGTACTGGTTTGGTAACAGAGTTGTGGATGAGTGGTACAAACTCCCGAGCACAGTTATTCAGGCTAAAACGTTGTGTAATTTTAAAAATAGGTTAGATAAAATACATGGTGGGTTGGGGTGGGTGTGAGTTGGCCCTGACTGCTTGTGTGCTGGGTCTGGTGCCGTGCTCCATCCTTGAGTGGAGGTGACCAGACTGGGGGGGTCATTGGGTAACCCGGGGGGTGTGGATCATTGGGCTTATCTCGGGGGGGGGGGGTACATGGACCTGCTTCGCATGGGTCAGTAGGCCTGTTGCAGTGTTTCTTCTTTCTTATGTTCTTATGTTCTTATGTCCATAGTTCGAAGAGCAGGTATGATCGGCATCCAAGGCTGGGAGGGAGTGAATCTGGCAAACGACAATTTGAGAGGCGAAGTAACGAGCAAAGACTCGACCCATTTAACCCCCCTACACACACACACACACACACACACACACACACACACACACACACACACACACACACACACACACACACACACACACACACACATACTACTAGATAAGTGTTCCTGTTTCCCAGCGATTTAAAGATAGCGACAGACTCCATGTCTACGCAAAAGGAGTAACTAAAGTAATTGCACATGATAATCTCTGAAGAGAGAAGAAAGAGAAGGAGAAGCGACATGATCACACAATTACAAAATACATAAGAGTCTTCACGGGCAGTACAGAGACACTATTAAGAAGCTAATGGGATATCATTGAAAATTGGAGATGCAAAATTGCTAAGGATAGTTTTAAAGAGAAATGACCTAACTGAGGAACTGGTAGAGACAGTGGAATTAGCTATACTAATAGGGTCCTGAAACTAGAAATTTGCAAAACTGCTGGCTAATAGTTAAGAATAGGGGTTAGGAACATAGATTAGTTCTCCACAACTACAACTAGGTGAGCACACAAATATAAACAAATCAACTCTAATCTTATTGATATTAAACATTTCTGGCTCAGGTTAAGCAACGTCCCAGTAAGAAACTTCAATATTATGACTTAGAATAATTGAAAACACAAGTATTTTCTCACTGACGCTTCTTAATTGTTTAATACATATGGAATTACATTTGCAAAACTTACATTGCCAATAGGATATATACAGCGCATATATTTTGGGAAAATAATCGTTTTTAAGGAAAAAAAAAATTACTTTGGTGGTGAAAAGGTTACGAGAACCTTAATGACCTTGATATAATGGATAGACTTTAATTTTATTAATCAACAAACCTCACAATGTTGTATTTACAAACTTTGAAGGGATATGAAACAAAATTTTGTTTTATGTGCAACAGAAATAGTCTTACGATATTAATTTTACTAACTTCTAACATGATTTCATTCCACTTAAGAAGAATTATCATTCATTATATAATGTTGAGTTTCATCGCCAAGGAAAGACATGATCAAGTTGTCAAAGATGATTATATTCCATCACATTGCAGAGTTACGCTGCACGACCATTCAAGAGCAATTCATTTCCATTTTCTTTCACAAAGTCTTCTCTTTGACTGTGTATATGTAGTTTTCTGGACGCAAATAACATAGACAACGCCGAATGGGGGAAGATATAGGTAATATTGGAGCCATAAACAATGAATTTCCCTACACATATCTAGACTGCCGTAGTATCTTACCCAACAACAGCAGCAGTATGGCCACAGGGGCTCTCATTCTGCTGTCCTTCACACTTATACTGACACGTTGAAGATCACTCAGTCAGGACTTCTCACTTACACACAACACACTACTTTGGGTGGCCAACCCTTACTGCACTGTCTTGGAATAATAATGAAGGTCTGAGCTTGCTGTACGGCTCTCTTCCCACCTGACTTAAAAACAGCTTTTGAGAAACCTAGACATATGATGGAAGACCTTCAAGGCATCGCTGGTTACAATTATCTTGCCATTTACAGGCTTTATCTTTATCTTATCTTCGATTATCAGGCGTTCTGATGGACTATTTTATCACCCGGGCAGAATGCTTTTATCTAATCATTCTTGCTTCACCTGTCTGTTTTTTTATTCCTTCATTGTCACACAGTGCTGAAAGTTTGACGAATGAAGCAATAACCTTGCAATCTAAACCAAGGGAAATGCTGGTTTATCGTCCATAGTGACATCACGAAAATCTTTATTTTTTGGGTGTTTAGGAAAAAGAAATAATGAATAAGAAAGCTGTAAATGGGTGCATTAGCAGTTACATTCAGTAAAGGTATAATGAAACCTGTAGATGTCGTCGATAGCAAAGAAATGGTTACGCCACAAGCTGTGGCTCAACTCACACCGCTATAGCAAGGTAAGAAAGTTGACGAATTGGAGAGGTAATCAGAGGTAATCAGTCCCTCAGAATTGACGGAATAAATCTTGTAGTCAATACACGAAGTAAAGAGATTGAGATAATATATCCCTCAGCCTTGCTGGAACATAATCAGTCTCTTAGATTAAGAAATTTGTAGTCTAGGACTTATTTACGGAAACATGAGGTTCAGGAGCCTGGATACGAGTTCACGGAGAAGCTGGACCCACTAGTGAGCTGGACCCACTAGTGAGCTGGACCCACTAGTGACAGTAGGTCATGCTAAATATTTGTTAGCAGTTAAGTTATTGAAGACATTCTATGGTGTCGCTGTGTCAGACAAGTATCATATTATAAATGGAATGCGATGCCGGCAAGTAGTTGCTGAGTGAGACACACCAACAAGACAAAGATTATAATATATTAATATATATTTATATATATAATATAATAATTTATAATATTGACAACAAACTCTGCCTGCACAGCAGGCTTCATTTTGTCGAAAGTAGAAATAAATTTCAATCCTAGAGACAGTAAATGTAACGGAAAGGTTGTAAACATTGTAATACTTGTCTGCCGCAGCAATTTATAGCATCTTGCAATAACTCTATTCCTAACAATTGTTCAGCATGATCTACTTCCACTAACTGGAAAAAGCTTACCTGTAACTTCATCTCCAAGCTGCTTCACCTCACTTTCCAGTAAATGAGTCTCTGGCTTCATGCATTTGCTTCAGGCTAAGATACTCATCAAGGCTGAGGGACTAATAACCTCAGACTGCCTCTCCACTTCGTCTACTGTTTCCAGGATGCATCTACGCCTTCAGCGTAGGCGGAACTTTAAGTCAACAAAAAAACCCAGTGCAAACGTACTCATCAATCACAACATTTTAAGTCACAACACTGTCAATCACAACACTGCCAGTCACATAACTGAGAGTCAAAAGACTATCAGAGAAGTAAAACTTCTCTACCCTCCTTGATTCATACATTTTATTTCTCAATCCTGGAAAGCTGTATGACCCTGATGAGATAAACGTTTTTGAGTTATAATAATAATATAACACCGCTGCTGCTACTACTACTACTACTACTACTACTACTACTACTACTACTACTACTACTAATAATAATAATAATAATAATTATTATTATTATTTTACTGTTGTAAGAAGTTAGGCTTCAATCTGCTACATGTTGATCTACACGGTGGGTGCCACAATAATGGGGAGCAGTAGGTATCCAGCTTTTGATTAATCTCTCGAAGTTTCTACAGTATTTAAACCTTTTGATGGGCAAAATAATATGAATGTGAAAATGAAAATAAGCTGTTGTGATCCTTTTAACAGATTATAATCTGTTAAAGGCCAGGAAACTGATACTTGTGGCAGATTATTGAAGGATAGAAAATTGTGATACTTATCCCGGATTACTGAAAGCCAGGCAACTGTGATCCCCGTATCACATTGGTGACGACCAGACGACTGTGATATCTGTACTGCATTACTAAATACCAAACTACTGTCATCTCTGTACTGCATTACTGACTACCAGACCATTGTCATACTTGCACTGCATTAGGGAGGGCCAGATCACTGTCAACTCTATACTGCATTAGTTACACAAGCTTCTCAATGAGATCTACACAGCACAACCCACAATAAAGTTCACCCTGGAACTTGAGAAGGACGGATAACTTTCCTTATTGGACGTCGTTCCATGCATATCCCAGGAGAGCAACAAGCTCAGCATCAGAGGATAAACAAACTTTAAATAAGAAGTTTATATATTACTACTCACATCATGGTACATGTACCAAACTAGTGCTAGCTGTCACTTTCAATTTATGAGCTCTTCACAACTGCGATCCTGTTTTTCTTGATGCGGAATGCGCTTACATACTACAAATGTTCATCATACATCAGTTCCCAGCCTTCTTCACACAAGGTAGCAGACGGAGAGCGAAGATCTTTCTTGATTTAACACCTATGGAGCACATCATCAAGTAATATGTAGTCGTACATAGCAACAGTGTAGTAGCCAAAGACAGCATGTGCACTTCTTGTTGGCAACATCTACATGCGACATCCACATCCATCATAGAACTTACCAGGATGCGGCACACGACAACCTATATTTACTGCCGGGATCTACACGATCATGTGTGAAAAGAAATACGTAATAGACTTAATGAACACAAATATACGAACACTAAGGAATATCAGAGCAATGCATACGAGATTCCCAGGAACACACAGGTAGATTTGATGGATTGTAACAAAGTATAATGATCTTCAAATATCTCAATCTCGACAGACAGTAGTATTAGAAATTGCACTTATTGCAATAACAAACAGTTACACAAGAAGCAGGAAATTATAGTATCGCTGCCATGCTGGAATATATGATCATTAGTGGGCAAGACTGTAACCTCGTAAGTCTATCAGAATCACATGCTTTCATTGTACATAACAACCAAATAAGATACAATCATGAATGAATAAGATACAGCCATGAACGACTCATTATTTTGTATGTTTTTAATGCATGAGGATTCAGATTTTACCACAATTTAACCTTAAAAATTCTGGAAAATATGACAAAAAATATTTCCCAGCCCTATGCATAGAAAGGTATATATTAAATAACACTTTCATTTTACTGTCTTTTAAGTGAGGCCAAATTGACCATCGTAAAATGACGTACAGCAACGTAAGAGTGAATTACGCAAATCTAATCTAAAGACCATGAAAGAGAGAGAGAGAGAGAGAGAGAGAGAGAGAGAGAGAGAGAGAGAGAGAGAGAGAGAGAGAGAGACAGTCATATTTTCACTAGCAATGGAAGCATTCATAATTGTAGCAGACGCGGTCATGATAGTACACTAATGAAAGTTTAAGAGATTTACACAGGAATTTGCAGAAAGGTGTGCAGGGTTGCCACTTGTTGCTGCAGCTGAAAAATGACCTACGGTGTCCCGTGGCCTGGTGGCTAAAGCTCTCGCTTCACACGGCGAGGGTCAGCTTTCGATTCCCAGCCAGGGTAGAAACATTAGGCGTGTTTCTATACACCGGTTGTTTATGTTCACCCATCAGTAAAATGCGTACCTGGGAGCTAGTGAACTGGTGTGGGTCGCATCCTGGGACAAGGACCTAATTTGCAGGAAATGCTCAGCATAACATGGGACTTTCTGTATAGAAGTATGTCACTGATGACAACTAGGCCTGTATACCTTGTACATGTACTTGTAGTAAATAAAGATATTATTGTTATTACATGGTTTTCGACAATCACACTAAGAAATCCTGGCAAACTGATGCAGCTTACGAGATGTTAATCCACTCTGGAACAAGCTGCCCTTCAACTGCTTTCCATCCATGCAGGCAGGGGATTGTAACTCGAACAAGTGGATCATGGGTCGATACCCAAATGCTGGCCTGGTTGAAAACCTCCTTTACCCTGGCGGTACAGAGCATTCGTAGTCGCTGGAATGTTCTCTATATTCTAATTTCGCTGACAAAACAATTGTTTACTAAGATGGTTAACCAAACTCGTACGTCTTTCATAGACCTGAATATTGAAATGCTCTAGAAAAGTGAAGATCTTACTTTCTACCTTCAGTTCAGTAAAAAGTTGGAAGAAATCCATAGCCTCAATGACATCATCAGGGCGCTTCTGCATGACCTTGAAACAAAGTTATTTTGAACGTTCTCTCAGGCCAGAAACTGAATCACAGTCAGTGACTCCAGCAAAAAGAGGAAGGGCACTACGTAGTTTTCTTCCTAAACTTTCAGTAATGTCCCTGAAGTTAATAAGGCTCTGATGCCTGTTAGTGCTGTATCTGGCAGAAACTTTCCAATTGGTAATAAATGTGACTTCAAAGAGAAAATGATAGGTAAAAATTATCACAGAAACGGAGTGGGAGGTCCTCACCAAAATGTTTGAATGACCTGTCCTCAAAGCATAAAGAATATACAGGACGAGCCGTGTGTCTGCTTCCTCTCCATCTGTGTCTTGGCCTGGTCACCAGTACTTAACTGTCTACCATCAACACTGGAGATGTATAGCTCACCTCTGTCAGGGTACTGAAAGAGTTTCTACTCTTATTTTTGCTGTTTTCCAGTAACTCAGACCATGTTCCAGGTATTTTCACCATTCAGCTAACCTATAAACGAACTACTGTTACTCTTACTAACCAGTTGTCAACCTTGATGGATTCTCGTCCATAGATGCCTTAAACAATATGGCGAAAGGGACCTTCCTAAGATCCCTGTGAATGTGCTTATTGAAATTCCACATCAGTGAAACCAGCGTTTGGATGAAGTGTTCCACCATCTACAACAAGTCAGACATATGACAGGAACTTGTCCATTGAAAAATAACCCTCGATGATCCGATTTCTTTGAATGATACATCACTTCTGAAGTTACTCTCTGCCATTCATGGAGGAAAAGCTTGAAACTCATGGGAGAAGAACAAGTCACGATCATCCTCACGTGTCTTTATTGCAATGTGCATTTGAGCGAAGACTGAGTTGGAG